CCCGCAGCATCCCGAGAATGTGCCACATGGGTTTATTAATTAGTTCATTAAATTATTGCTGAAGTTAATTGAGGCCCACGTGTTCCCCCCTCCAGCTGCCTCCCAGCCGGCCGTGGCACGGGCAGGAGCTGGTGGTGGGGTCGGGAGCAGGTAAAGAGCTGCCAAGGAGAGCACCCAGTGCTGAGCGTGCCGTGCCACCTGCCCTGTCCCTGTGCCACCTGCCCTGTCCCCCCTCTGCCTGGCACAATCGGCTGCCGGGCTCATCACGGTGATGATTGTCAAGTTTTAATTAGTCTCCGACACGATTCCTGTCACAAACACTCTGCTGGGGGTTGTTTGTTTTAATTTGATCAGGGACAGGCACAGAGAGGGGGAAGGCGGAAGGTAATTAAATTTGACTAAAAATCTTGGAATGCCATTAAAGCGGATGTCCTCATTTGCATAATCCGCTCCCCGCGGCGCCCAAAACTGCCACCAGTTCATTGTGGCTGATTTTGCCCCCAAGAGGACGCTGCCCACCCGCGGAACCTGCCGGCACGGCCGAGGGAGGACGGGGATGTGCAGGGAGGGTGGAAGAAAGGAAAAAAATTCCTGGCTTGCTTCTAGTGATTCGAGGGGCTCGCAGGGGAAGTTGTTCAAGTACCACCAGCTGGGTTGGGTGGGTAAAACATCAGCACCTGGGGTGTTCCTGTGCCGGAGCCTGCTGGGAATGGGGCTCTAAAGCTCTCCCGAAGTGCTCCAGAGCAGCCTGGGGTGGATGTTCGAGTGCCAGCCCAGGGACCAGCAGGGTGCCGTGTCCTGCTGTGGACAGGACACCAAGAGCAGGAGCAGAGCAGGACAAACACAGCCGGCTGTGCCTGCAGATCCCAGCCTTGGGAATGCCGAAGCTCCCGGAGCTGGGGGTTCAGTCCCCTGAACGAAGCCAGACGAGCAGCAGGTGGGTGGGGTCGGAACGACCTCATTTTGTAGCTTAAGCAACAACTTTTGCCCTTTGGTGCTTCTTTTCCCTACTAGTGTTTCCCTGTTTAACATGGAGAAAACGCTGTTCTGCGTTTCCTCCTTGGCTGTCCACAGAGTAATTACCTGGTAATTATTTCTGCTCGCTGGCAAGTTGGTTCTAATGATGTTTGCTAAAGGTTTGATTACTATTGCAAACGTTGTTTCCACATGTGGAGTTAGGGCTGGGATGCCAGGGGTGTTTCTGGGAAAAGCAGGTTTTCCAGGGAGGGGCTGTACTTTCTAGAGATATTACAGTCAGAGCCGGAGGTTGTGACGCTGTTGGGTTTTTATTGTTATATTGATAAAATAATGAAGATTCTAAACTGTCACCAGGTGACAAACAGGGATTTGATGATAGATAGTAAAAACCCTGGATAGTTTGGAAAGGAACACAAAGAAGAGGGGACAGGGGTGTTGGGGGAGCAGAGACAAGGAGGGACATCTGCTTGCTGTCCCTAGATGTGTTTACAGCCAAGAAGAGCGCTCTGGCTGTTTACAGCAGGAGCAACCTGCCAGAAATAAAACCTTGGAATGAAGGAAGGGGAGAAACAATGCAGAAACAGAGCTTCCAAGTGCTGGGAAAGCCAAGGGGTCATCAGTCCATCCAGGTGCTGCTGGAATAGGAGAGGCTCTTGCAATATAAATACCACACAAAGAAAGGACTAAAGAGAGCCAGGACTGGATAAAGAGGCTGAGCCACCACAGGGACCCTGCAGGGGAAGAAGGGTCCTGAGGAAAGTGTTGGAAGCTTTTAGCAGCTGAGGGTGGCTAGACCAAAAGGAGGTGAAAGGGAGGTGTGATCCCAGGATCTGGACAAGGATCGCTGCCCAGGGGTGGGAAATCTTTGGCCCATCAACAAAGCTCACGTTAAGAAATACAAATGTGGTGTAAAGATGCTGTGACAGCGATTGTACTGGGTATCTTTTCATTAGTATTATTAGTTTGGGTTTTTTTAATTATTAAACTTCCATATCTCAACCCACAAGATAAGAACTTCTCTTTTCCATTCTCCTCTCCCCGCTGGGGTTGTGGGAGAGAGTGGCTCTCCTGAGCTGCTGACTGGGGTTAAAACCACAATGTGAGTGCAGGAAGGGAAATCAGTTCACTCCTATGCCCTGAGAAAGTTATCCCAGCCCACTGAAAGCCCCCCCCCAGCATGAGGACAGTGCTTAAATCCCCTGGGACAAGAGGGTCTGTCCTGGCTGGGGCTGATTTAGGGCAAGGGAAGCATTGTGCCCATGTGGAGGGAGAAGTTGTGGAGCTGTGGGGGCCCATCCTGGTGCAGGTGTGATACAGAGTGATGTGCATTCCTGAAGGTGCGTGTTGGATGGGTGGTGGGGGTCATGTAGATACTGGGTAGGTGATGGGGCCAGGCAGACTCCACCAGCCAAGACCCCTGGGTGCTGAGAGCTGTGGTTGAGCAACTCCATTAGAGATTCTTCTGCCTGGGCTGAGGTAATGACCTGAGGACCCCAAGGATGAGCAGACAGACAGGCTGGACAGGCACCACTCCTGGGGTGGGGATGACCCACACAGCTGCCTGTGAGGGCTACAGCTTCTCTTTGGAATGAGAAAAAAAAATCAATAATTTTCCCCAGATACATATTTTCAAGGATGTGTAATGAAAGACAACTGTGTGTCTTCCTCCCCATAATTGGGCTGTTTGCACTCTAAATACAGTACAGCTCCTACCTGACTGGCTAATAAGGAATGATTTTCTCTCCTTTTATCTCCAATTAAGCTGAACTGAGCCTGGCATCGCCGCTCTGCAGTCATTTCCCAGTGTAGAGGTTTGCTAAGTTGTGGGGGTTGGCTTTTAGAAGGCTTGAAAAGATTAATCTCAAATAATGTGCAGGGGAAGAAATGTGGATCTGTGTTAATGGGACTTGGAGGATTCAGTAAAGAATTGATTTTTAAATGTTAGTTTGTGCTAATCAGGGGTTGGAGGAAAACACTCTTGAACTGATCAGGTGCCGGTGCCAAGCAGAGGTAGATTTGGGAGCGTGGCTGGGGTATGTGAGCCCAGAAGCCCTGGCATGCCTCCAGCTGGCTTTGCAGAGGCTTTTGGGTGTTATTTAGTGCCTGCCCCCAGTGCAGCACTGTGTAGTGGGGAGAGCCCCTCTGTTCAGCTGTGCTGGGGGCTCAGGAGCTGGGCACGGATATGCAGCAGGACAGGATTCCCTGGGGGAGTGCCCACACAGCCCTCACCCCTCTGCCAGCAGAACACCACAGGGTGCTGCCATCCTGCTGGGACCCTGTAAGGTGACATGCCAGCTCTACCCTCCATCCTGGACTGGGGAGGGTCCCCTCTCCAGGCAGGGGCTGGAGCCCTGGCCATGGGCATCGCCAGGCTCAGGCTGCATTCCGGACGAGCCAGGGCTGCCCATCACTCTCTGCCCCCTCTGGTGCTGACAGCCAGAGGAGTCCTGCTGCTGCTCATCCCACACTTAGCTCATGCTCAGAGAGCCATTTCTTCCTCTCCAGGCTTGAACCTCGCAGCCTCCATCCCCATCATGTTCTACATCACTGCTCCCAGAACAGCAGAGAGGGGGGTCTGCTCCAGGGATGGTGCCAGCACAAAGTGGTTCTTCATCATCATCACTGATGCCTGACTGATGCTGGATGCTCATCTTCCTCCTCAGGCTGCTCTCCCTACAGCGGATGGCAATGCCAGGTGAACCCCAACCCCTGGAAGCACGGCTGGATGTGGGAGCTGCTGGGTTTGGGTCCCTTCACCCACACGTGGGCAGCCCCAAGGACATGCATTGCTCAGCCTGAGCTGCTCCAGTGCTGTTGAACCTCTGAGCACGAGGGTTTCTTCATCAGCCAGCAGATCTCGTTAGTATTTTATTAATTGCACAGATGGGAAGAGCAGCCCCCATCCAAGTCAAACAATTGTTGAAGTTTTATATGATACAAAACAAAAGTCCCTTAAGTACAAAATATCCGGCTCTAAGTGAGCATCACCTGGTGCTGAGCTCTGCCACCAGTTATATATTAATATTCCACCTGTACAAGTATTTATAGATAGAAAAAAAGAAACACTTTAAAAAAATATCAGGAGAAAATTCACTCTCCCAAATGTTAGTTATATTTATATATATATGTATATATAAAATACATATATATAGAAACACAGAGGCTGATTTGTGCTTTTTTTCACCAAAAGACAGACAGGACATATTAGGGCCAAACTGACACTGGGGGTCCCCAGCGCGTGGGTCGCGTTGCCTTCCAGTTGGAACAATGTCTGGGAATTTGAGTCCCTTCCTGAATGGAGAAACCAGGTCATCTCCCACGTGCTGACAGCTTCGGCAGACAGCTTCTCCATGGAGGGAAGGGAGGGATGGGAAGGTGAATGGACATCTTTGTGGAAGGGAGAGGGCATGGGCTCTGCCCTGGTGCCTGCCTGAAGAGGTGATTCCCAGACAGCTCATCTCCCACCACCCCTGGCAGCCGGGAGGGGACAGAGCTGGACCCAGCAGCTGGCACAGGGGTGACCCAGCCTGGGCACCCACGCTCTGCTGCATTATCCTCACGGTGCCTTCAGCCCCAGGCACTGCCCTGGAGCAGCTGGTGCCGCTCTGCCCTTCTCCCCTCTCGGGACATGGCCCTGAACCCTGATGGCAGCAAAGAATGGGGAGCTGCTGTTCTGCTGTGTCCCTCCCTCCCTGGGTCCTGCCTTCCAGGCACTGCCCCTTCTCCTTGTATCCCCCTCAGGGACAGCTGCTCTGGGGCTCCAGACGTGTCCTGCTCCATCCAAACGACGAGTTGGCTGGTTAAGAGGGATGGGCTTGGCTTGGAACACTGTTCATCCAGCCCCACTGAAACCAAGTGCACGAGAGGGCTTTTGGCCAAGGAAGAGGGATGCCCAGGAGCACAGGGCTGCTTCGTCCATGAACTGAGCACCAAAGCTGCACCAGGTTCCCTCTGCCCCTCAGCAGGGGCTGGCACTTGAGCTGTACCTGTGTATCTACAGGGAGCCTCCCTCCTCCCAGAACAGCAGCCTCTTTCACTACCCAGCTGTGGCTCCCTGGCTGTCCCTGCCGGCTGACACCACAAACACACTCCACCCTCACTGCCCACCCTCCACTTCCCAACACAGCTCTGCCACCTGCAGACACGGCCCGTCCTCTCTGCTCGACCCTACTGCGTCCTCCCACCTCGCTGCACGCTCCTTCACCCCCACCATTGCTCCCAGCTGCTGTTGGGGGACCCAGCTCCTGCCACAGGCTGCCTTCCCGGGGTCACCCCACAGCCCCTCTTCCATCAGCTCCCCCACCCCTCCTGTGGGACAGGGGCACGGCTTTTCCTCTGTGGACCCTCTGCCCTGCAGCGCTCCAGGGCTGGTGGGATGGGGACTGCCCAGCCTGGGGTGAAAGGACGTTTATAAATATGTGCCTCTGCCTCCCCCTCCATGGGCACTGCCCACGCTGTGCTCCCTGCCCAGAGCCCCAGTCCAGATCCACAGCGAGTCCACGTCAGACAGGACGCAGCATCTTCCTGGCGCCTCAGATCTTCGTCTCAGGGCCACTCGGACTCAGGGCTGGGAAGGAGTCCCGGATCCTCACCAGCTCCATGGCACAGAGGTGGCCAAAGACCCTGTTGTACCACTCGGGAGACCGGCCCCTGGAGAAGGGAAGAGGCGGGAGAAGGGTGAGCGGGTAGGAGGGAGGCTGGCACCTGCAGGAGCAGCCTGGTGCCCCTTGCTGGGGACAGGCACTCGGCACAGCTCCCACGGTGAGGGACGAGGAGGCAATGAGTGAGCACCGTGTGCCAGGACAGGGACCTGCCTCCCCTGTCTGCAAAGTGGGGGAATATCTGCCACCCAACCAGCCCACCCTCGCACCCCGAACCCCAGCGTGGCTCAGCAGCACCAAGGCCGTGCTCCAGACCCACAGGGAACTCCAGGTGCTCTGCAGAAGCTTCCAGGGACTTGCTGCCACCACGGGAGGAACTGCCAGCACTGACTGAGCTGGTGGCTCCTTGTCCAGTCCCCACCTGGCAGGAAAAGCCCGGCCCCAGCCCAGCACCCCTCCCCTCGGGGCAGGCAGGGACTGTGGGGCAGGAGCCAGGCCCGTGGAGGGGTGGGCGGCTCTGGTGCCCCACCATGACCTGGTGTTCCCTCCCCGTTACCTGAGGTCGGCCCTGCAGATGTGGGTCACTCGGGAGCGGCCCATGGCGCTGGGCTCGATGAGGTACTGGGACGTCAGCACGACGGCCTTGACGCCTCCCTCCACCGGCACCTTGTCGTGCTCCACCGACAGGGCCACGAGCAGGCAGGCTCCCCGCGGCAGGTCCGTGCGCCAGCGCCTGCGGGACGGGCGGGGGTCACGCTGTGCCCACCCAGATGGGAGGGGAGGGGAACCCCCCCACAGGGGAGGAGGAGATGGGGCTGGAGCAGGTGGGGATCCACCAGACCAAAACCAAACCCTGGCGGGGTCCCTGCCCGCCCTCACCGGAGCACCATGCAGTCCCTGCGCGGGTGGGGGGCCATGCTGTCCGTCACGTAGTGATACACCTCCATGTCCTGCTCCAGGGCCTCCACCACCTTGCTCTGCAGCAGATCCTCGTCCCACAGGTGACGCTCCCGCAGCACCCGGTGCAGCACTGTGGCAGGAGGGGCCTCCACCTCCGTGGACACCTTCCACAGGCGCAGGGGGTTCCCATCCCCAACCTGAGGGGACAACGGGAGGGTCAGGCAGGCTGACTGGGGATGGGATGGGATGGGATGGGATGGGATGGGATGGGATGGGATCTGCTTTGGCTGCTGGAGGAGCACTGGATGGCAGCAGCCAGCTTCTCTGCTAACGTGGTGGGCTCTCTGCCAGGACTGCTGGGCACAGAGCAGCCTCCATCCCTCAGTCCCCTCTCTGGCCAGGGAAAGGGTTGCTGGTCCCACCTTGCACAAGCACCAAGGGTTTGGCAGCAAGTCCATAGGTGCCTGGAGATCCCTGTGGTCACCCCATACACATTTTCCCCATGTCCCCAAGTCCCTCCACACAGTGGCATTTACCTTTTTGCAGGACAGCTCTGTGTTCAGGGGCCCTGGGGTGCTCAGCCACCCCTTGAATTTCTCTGATGACTCTTTGAGCAGGTTCTGGATGCTCTGCTCGAAGTAGGAGTGTAGATCCTTACTCTCCCCTTGGCACACCAAGTCAGTCAGGGGGTGTGGATAAGCATCTGCAGCCATATAGGAGCTGCTCAGCTGCAGCAAGATGTCATGGGAGACCTGTGAACCAAGAGCACACACCTTCAGTGAGCCAGATGAATCCTGAAGGGACTTTGTGAGTGTCCTGAGCAGCTCAAGAACCACAACTCAACCCAGCAAGGAGGGGGAAGGATGGACACAGCCCCCCTGGACATACAGCCTACACCAGCAGGAGATGAAACGGGGCTCTGCCCCTGGGGGCACCAGTCAGGGGCAGCTGCCCCACTTAGGGCTGGGTGCCCTCATCTCGCCCCAGGACTGGCACCCACCAGTGAGGTCACACCTCCCGTGGGCAGTGCTGGGCTGGACACCACTGCCACTTACCTGGAAGAGCTTCTTGCAGTCGGTGATCATGTGGGAGAGCCCCTGCGTCGCAGCCATGTTCTCGTTCAGGTCCTTCTGGTCCGGCTTCCCCATGGTGCCCCTCTTGTGTATGGCCCTGTGGGGGGGCAGGTGGTGCTGGGACCAGTGGGTACCGCACGCCTCTGGCCCCCCATGGCTCTGATTTATGTCACAGAGCGGGGACCCCCAGTCTGCAGGGCAGAGCGATGGGCTGTGCCAAGAGCATCGGCGTCCCACCATCAGCTCATCCTGCTGGCAGCTCATCCTGCTGGCAGCTCATCCACGCAGCAGGCAGGGAGGGGCGATGGGGAGCTGCCCTTACCTGGGTGAGGTGCTTTCCTTCTTGGACACGTTGAGGTGGAAGATGGAGGGGGCCAGGCACACGGCCAGGTTCCCGGCAGTCATCTGGTTCTCCTCGGCCGAGGCGATGTCGCTCAGGAAGTAGAGCAGGGTCTGCAGCACCTCGCGGTTCTCGTCGGGCATGAGGATGATGGCAGCCTGCACCGCCTGCAGCCGCTGCTCCTTGGACACGACTGGGGCACGGGGCAATGCCAGCGTCAGCCACCGCCTGCCCCCACCGCCCCCACCCACGGGGACAGAGGGACCCCTCCTGCCTGGCAGAGCCCCAGCTCCCCGGCCCTTACACTGGTAGATCTGCAGGAAGGTGTCCGTCAGCTTGCTGGTGAAGATGGGCTCGGGCAGGTCGCGGAAGTATTGCTTCAGCAGGTCGGCCACGTCGTACGCCGACTGCCCCGCGTAGCTGACGTTGTCAGGGCTGCTCTCGTTCATGTGCCGGAGCGCCTGGATCCGGGACTTCACCCCTGACTTACGGAAAATGCCAACCTGAGGGGGCAGAGGGGGGTGAGAGGGCACCGGCCTGGGTGGGCACCCATGGGACAGGCAAAGACAACGCCCCCCCAGAGAGCTCCTCCCCCAGACCCAAGGGGACAGCAGCGGGTGTGGGGTTCCCACAAACAATCCCACCGTCCCACTTCACCACAGGAGGTGAACAAAGGGACCCCCAAAGCTATTTTTTTTGTCCCCAACTCCCAGCACTGCTGCCCAGTGGTCCCAGCATCACCTGGTCCAGGCACTGGCTGCGCAGGTAGCGCATGGCCTGCTGGATGCTCTGGGGCAGGGGCTGCCCCGTGCGCTGCACGTTGACGATGGGGGGCACCCCAAAAACCATCTTGTCCCTGTAGTCAGGGACTTTACTCCTCTTCATGAACTTGGGGACAGTCCTGCAGAGTAGAACAGAGAGAAATCAGTGCAGTAATCAGTGCCCTCCACAACCCCTCGCAGGGGGAGCAGGACCCTGGGAACACACAAACACACACACACACACAAACACACACATCTTTTATTAAGCCAAAATGCTTTGGTACTTGGCTATTATACTGTCCCACTGTCTTATGCAGCATTTTTAATGCCCCACAAGCATCTGCAGCCCCCATGGCTGCAGGTGATGCCAGGAGCCTGGGGGTCAGCCCCAGCTTACACTTGACAGAGCAAAGCCATCCCTTGTTTGGCTCTTCCCCCTCCCTCTCCACCATCTCCACCCCCCAAAGCTGCCCTGGGCTGGTGGCAATGCGCTGCATAGCACAAGCTGCAGCTTGTGGGCACCATCCTGATCCCCTCTCTGCCCGCTCACCACGTCCAGGCTTGCTTGTGGGGCACCGAGTACTTCTCCATGATGGCAGTGAGCCGGAGCAGGGAGCACTTCTGGAGCAGGTTGAGCTGGGCCGAGGACTGGCGGTTGATCTCCAGCGAGGCTGAGTTCAGGCTGGGCCGGTGTGAGTTCTGGAAGCTGTGCCAGCGCAGTTTTCTGGATGGAAAAAGTGGATGTGAGAGCTGGTGAGCAGGGAAGAGCCTGTCCCTGCCCAGGGCACCCCTGGCTGTGGGAAAGGGCGAGATAAGCCACAGAACTCAGCAACAGCCAGAGTCCTGCAGGGGAAAGCACCTGGGGGCTCTGGCACAGGGCAGGCACGTGCCCCCTGCATTTACGCTTGGCTTTAGTTAATGAGAAACCTTTTACCGACGGGCCTGTGCAGATGGAGGGCTGGCAGCAGTGGCAGTGGTGTCCTGCCACCACCAGAGCGCACCAGCGCCCTGCGCTGCGCTCCCCTGCCCGCTGCTCCTCCAGCAGCACTGCCCTCCCTCCGCCAGCTCCCGCCTCCTGGCAAGGGGCGATCAGCCAGCCCCTCCAGGACGAGGTCGGGGTGCTGCTCCTCCAAGCCATGGGCTGTGCACCCCTCCTGCTGCCCCATCCCTGGAAGTGTTCAAGGCCAGGCTGGATGGGGCTTGGACACCTGTCTAGAGGAAGGTGTCCCTGGCCATAGCAGGGGAGTGGAAAGAGATGGTCTCTGTCCCTTCCCACCCACAACATCCCAGGATTCTGTGATACCTGCAGGGCCTCGTGAGCGACGCTCCCACCCCCGAATCCCGGCGCTCCCGCGTCTCAATCTCTTCAGCTTCGTTGAGGGAGTTCCCCGTGCTGTCAAAGTCACTGGCAGAGGTGCCTACGTCTGACATGGATCGCTCTTCGAAGTGCAGGTTGGAGGGTTCCCCTCCCGAGTCCGACTCCTCCTCATCCTCCTCTTCCTCGCCCCCTTCCTCCCCATCCAGGCCAGGGGCGATGGCTTTACACCAGAGCTCCACCTTCTGCTGTAGCCCCCACATGTGCTGCAGAATGTCGTCGAGGTTCTCGAAGGTAACCTCCCCGTCCTTGCAGAAATCCTCGCTGCTGCCGAAGTCCGGCACGTTGTCGTAGACGCTGACCCGGCTGCCCAGGGAGCTGCAGGAGCCGCGGCGCCGGCGGGCAAAGCCGCGGGGCGAGGATGAGCCCTCCGTGCTGCTGCTGCTGCCGCCCCTGCCACCCGCGCCCAGCCCCGCGGCCACGCTGCCCGGGTCCCAGTGGGTCAGGGAACTGCCGCCCAGGGGACACAAGCTCTCGATGGAGAGGGATTTGGGGAAGGTGCCGGGCTTGTGGTCGCAGGGGATGTAGACCAGGCAGTCCCCCCGGCGAGCCCGCCGGCGCTGGCACGCAGAGGCGGCGGCCCAGGTGCTGCTGGCTGTGGCAGCCGTGTCAAAGTCCTCCAGGGAGACCCCGCTGCAGTTCTGGTCAGAGCCCTCCTCGGTGCCCGCGGCGCCGAGCGGGCGGTTAGTCCTGTACGACACCGAGAAGAAGTGTTTTTTGCCATGGAAAGAGGCGGGTATCCCTCTTTTAGAGGAGCTGGTCCTGGTGGCTGCGAGCTCCCCGTTACTCTTCAGGGGGCCCCATCCGGGTGGGAGAGTTTTGCTGCTGTGCAGGGCTACCCTCCTGTCAGGGCTGGCTTTCTCCTTGTCCTTCCTCCGCAGGGACTCGATCCGCTTCAGGAAACTGCGAGACCGGCGTTTCTTTGGCTTCTCCTTGGAGCCCTCCCTGCGGCCCTGGGGCTGCTCCAGCGAGGAATGCTCGCTCCTGCAGCTGGTGGCGCTGGCAGCGGCACGGAGCGGGGACGGGGGCTCGGACGGTGCGGCTGCAGCGCCCGGCGTGCCACGCGTGCCACCCACGCTGCCCACGCTGCCCGTGCTGTGCAGGGACGCGGCCTCCGGGTTGGTACTGAGGTCGGTGAGGACGCTCTCGCGGCTGGACACCGGCCGCATGCTGCAGCTCAGGGCCTCCGAGCCCTGCGAGAGGACGTCGGCTGACCCTACCCGGGACCACCTCTTGCTGTCCCTCTGGAAAGCCCACCGGTTGCTGATGGCACACAGGTCTTCCTCCTCAGAGTCTTCATTCTGTGAGTGGTTGAGAACAGGGGATGATCAATGTGTTGGAGTCACGGAGGGTCAGCGTGTTCCCCCTGCCCAGGGGACAAGCACCCCAGAGAGGGGCACAGCACCGGCACGGTCCCAGGTGTGTTCACCCCCTTAAACCAGCTCCAGTCCCATTTGGTAGGAGAGGGCTCCAGGAACCACTCCATACCCAGGATCATCACGGAACACCCCAGGACACTGCCCCACCACTGAGCATGAGATCCCCCACACCCTCCAGTCCCCTCACTTGCACTGAGCACCCAGGACCTACCTGTTTACGCTGAAAGTGAACATCCAGCTTCATGGAGGCACAAGTGTTCAGGGTCATCAGCCTCCTGTGAGAAACAGAGAGGCTTTACCCTGGTCCCAGTCCCGGTCCTGGCCCCACTGCTGTCACAGAGCTGGCTGTGGCTTCTTTTCACTTTCCTGCCTTAGAGCCCTGACTGTGCCTGTCACATGTCACAGGGGCCAGAGGGACACCCAGCTACTGAGGGGATGATGCCAGCAGATGGTAGCCCAAGCCAGGCCACACACATGCCGGTAGCTGGGGCCACTGGTCCTGTGAGTGAGCAGGGATGGCCTGCTCCAAGTTATTAGAGCGAAACCAGCTCAAAAGCTCCTGTGGCTGGACCAGGGAATGACTAAAGGACCCAGAAAAGGCTCAAAAGCTCAGACAGGGCAGGACAGGCAGAGACCTTCTGCCACCTCCCACCCTGCTGCACCCAGGAAGTGGTGTGGGGATCCCCTCCCGCCCAGCACAGCCACCCCTCTGTCGGGAAAACAAGTAACAGACTCTGTTCCCGCTCCTTGTCTGTTCTGGGTGGGAGGGAGGCGCAGAGTTGGTGCGGGGGCACAGCTGTGATGATGTGTCCCAAGAGCCAAGGCAAGGCTGAGTCACCCACAGAACCGGTGACACACGGCCCGCCCAGACACACGGACTGTCCAGTCAGTCCCTCCCTTTGGGTGTCTGTGCTGGCACAGTCCCCCCAGCACACACTGCTCCTGGCACAGCACACGCAGCAGCAGCACCCTCAGCTCTTCCCAGCCCCACTAATCCAGCAGCACCCTCAGCTCTTCCCAGCCCCGCTGATCCAGCAGCACCCTCAGCTCTTCCCAGCCCCACTGATCCAGCAGCATCCTCAGCTCTTCCCAGCCCCGCTGATCCAGCAGCACCCTCAGCTCTTCCCAGCCCCACTGATCCAGCAGCACCCTCAGCTCTTCCCAGCCCCACTGATCCAGCAGCACCCTCAGCTCTTCCCAGCCCCACTGATCCAGCAGCCCCCTCAGCTCTTCCCAGCCCCGCTGATCCAGCAGCACCCTCAGCTCTTCCCAGCCCTGCTAATCCAGCAGCACCGTGTCCTGGTGGAAAACACGTGGCCAGGCTGCGCTGCCTGGCACCAGGACAACCAGCGTCACACAGAGTATTGTCACACGGAGCCAGAGAACACTTGGAAAGGCAGAAAGCCCAGCTCAGAGCAGCTGACAGCGTGATGTGCCAGGGATGGAGGGTCCCACCAGCACAGACCCACCTGCACTCGGTAAACCCCCGTGTGAGCCACCAGGTCCCACCTCACCAGGAGCCCCTGCAGTTCCTCACCACAAGGCAAGACATCCCCCTCTGATGCACAGATACCAGGCTTTAATTCCAGCTTTAGCTCTCCGAGACGTTACACAGCATTCTCACAACATAGCCCTGGCAGTGCTGGGCAGTGGCTGGGTTCGATGATCTTAGAGGTCTTTTACAACCTAAATGATTCTGTGAGTCTCTGGTGAAGGTGCCCTGGGCAGACATGGCTCCCTGCCCTGGGGATCACTGCCAAAGGATGCCACCTGGGGTTGTGGGAGGGGGCAGGGGAGCAGGACAGCAGGGACAACAAACACACCTCTGCTCGGTTTGACAGCTCAGCTCTGACCAACCCAATTCTAGCCGAGCTCTACGGTCTAGTTACCCAAGCCTGAAATTAAAGCCCAGCCCAAAAGCCCCACAAAGAGAAGAATTATTCCTGGGAAATGTTTCTGTTCTCTAGCAGCTGTGGATGTTCATAAAAAAGCTATTGTTTCCCTGGAACCACCCAACACCAGCAGTGCTGCCCAATCCAACTGACACATCCAGAGTCCTCACCACAGAAGGAGCAACAGCAGCAGAGCATGATCTGAGCCCAGTTGAGGTATGAGGTGGGCACCCCACAGCACCCACCACCCCATCAGCCCAGGACAGCTGCCCCAGCCCTTGCCTGGAGCACATCCCCGTGCTGGTTCCACGGTCTGCACTGTGCAGGGATGTGAGAGAGCATTACCTGCACAGGGATTTGAGGGAATCCTGATCCAGGAAGCTGTGGTCCTTCTTCACAGCGCCAATGTCGAGAGGGAACAAGGAGTCTGGGGAGGAAAGCGAGAGGGACATCAGCCAGCTGCTCCATCGGGCAGCAGTGGGCATGGGAGGAGGGAAAGGCTGCGAGGAGCAAGCACAGGAGAGACCTGAGCGGCTGGAGACCACCCAGAGGTGGTGCATGCCCAGGGTCCCTGGGCACAGCTCCCAGGTGTGTTAGGTGAGGGTGACGAGGTGCCTGACGGCATCCATCCAGTTCCCTGTTCTGCTGGGATCATGCATTTGGGATCATGCATGTGGGATCATGCATTTGGGATCACGCATTTGGGATCACGCATTTGGGATCATGCATTTGGGATCATGCATTTGGGATCATGCATTTGGGATCATGCATGTGGGACCCCCAACCCCAAGGGTCAACCCAGCTGTTCATTAAGCCATGGAGTGCAACCACCAAGGGAAGGGAAAAAGAGGGAAATACTTGGAGGATGTGGGAAGTTCTGTGGAGAGAGGCTGGAAAGGCACTGGTTCATTCATGGACTCCAGCAGCAGCACCGCTCCTCAGTGCACAGCTGTGAGCGCTCTGGGGACAGTACCTGGGGCTGGGGGTCTCCAGCAGGAACCCAGCCCGTCCTTGCACGTGGTGCCTGGCCCCCCAAAATAGACACCAGCAGCAAACAGGCAGCCCATAAAGCCATCCCCGGGGGCTGCTGCTGGAAGTGCCCAGTCGAACAATGGTCACGGCCGCCAGGTCCCGCTTCCCGCCATTGTCCGGCCAGCCGGGCCGGCTGCAGCCGCTCCCCGCATCAACCCCCGCCACCACCAGAGCCCCACTGCGGCTTCCAAGGAAACACAGCTGAGCCCAAAGCCAGGCCCACCGGCACAGCCACCCTGCGACCCGCCCTGGGCACCTGGCACAGGCACTGGGAGCGGGGACGCTGGGGCTGAGTCTCTGCCCCACACCTGGGACGCTGGGGCTGTGTCCCTGCCCCACACCTGGGGATGCTGGGGCTGTGTCCCTGCCCCACACCTGGGGATGCTGGGGCTGTGTCCCTGCCCCACACCTGGGACACTGGGGCTGTGTCCCTGCCCCACACCTGGGGACACTGGGGCTGTGTCCCTGCCCCACACCTGGGGATGCTGGGGCTGTGTCCCTGCCCCACACCTGGGGATGTTGGGGTGTGCCCCTGCCCCACACCTGGGGACGCTGGGGCTGTGTCCCTGCCCCACACCTGGGGACGCTGGGGCTGTGTCCCTGCCCCACACCTGGGGATGCTGGGGCTGTGCCCCTGCCCCACACCTGGGACACTGGGGCTGTGTCCCTGCCCCACACCTGGGGACGCTGGGGCTGTGTCCCTGCCCCACACCTGGGGATGCTGGGGGTGCCCCTGCCCCACACCTGGGGGGCTGCACAGACCGGATCTGCGCCAGGCTGGGCTCACTGAGCACTCATGAAGGGCAAGCTGGAGCAGAGCAGAGGCTGCAGGATGGTCAGCAGGGAGGGAGGGAAGGAGGAAAGGAGGGAGAATGCTTTTGCTCTCAGTGTTACCTACACTGGCTGCCCCTGCACTCCCACCCACGGCAAACACTCACTGAACCTCTCCTGAGCTGATGGCTCTCCAAAGCCTGGTTACCCTTGGCTGGAGCAGCCACCCTGGGACTCCTTGTAGCCCTGCCTGAAGGGGAAAAGTTCAGGAATGCAGGAAAGTTAATTGTGGCTGGCTCTCCAGGCCACAGCCAAGGGCACGGCCAAGTTCTACACACGATCATATAATCAGTGAACAATCCTCTCCATGCCCTCCTGTTCCTGGAGCTGTGGGCACTCTCCCTGCAGCTCTCCTCGGAATCTGCCTGAGATATGGGCTCTGAGCCCAGGTACAGAGCAGGGGGCAGCAGGAGGAGGCAGCTCTCACCTTCGTACAGCTGGGCATACTGGGGGAATCCCGCCGCCCGCAGCCACTCACAGGCTTTCTTGGCTTCGATTTCTGGAAGAGAGCAAAGAACCGGCTTGAGCATCCCAGTGAAGGCAGCAACGCTCCCTGGATCCCAGCCCACTCCCCCAGACCCCGGCACCAAGGCCTGTTCCATGTGCACAGAGCAGAGGAGATGCCCAGCTGTGGAACCGGGAGCTGGGGGTCCCACGGGCAGCAATGCCGGGCACAGAGAGGGGGCTCGGGCAGACACAGCTCAGCTGCACCTCTCCAACAGCACCAGGCAAAGGTCAGGAAGTGACAGGAATGACAGGGCCACAAGACACAATTTTAACCTTCCAGTGAAATGTTTTCTTTCTGAACCCACCAAGCCAACTGCAGTTCTTGGCCAGGCAGGAGAGGAAGATCTTTATTTGTAATAATGAGTTCAGAGCTCATCAAAGCTCAGGGCTGGTCACTTCTGCAAACATCCTCCAGCAAATCCTGCCAAAGGAGGCCTTCCTCCCCACCTCCTTCCCACCGCCTGGCCCTCCCCACCTCTTCTTTCAGGCTGGTGTTTGTCCCAGTGAACACCAAACCCCTGATGCGGTTCTACCCCCCTCACCCAGCCAGTTCCCACCCCTCACATAGGCATCAGCCATCACCCGGATGAACTCATCCAGCAAGCAGCACTATTTCCTGGGAAATTCCTCAAATTTAGAGAACTTGAGGGAAAACAGCTCAAAATTCCTGCAGCCCCAGTAAGTCATTGCTAGGTGTTGGCACCGCTGGTCCAGTGGCTTTTTTACTGCTGAGGGTGACAGTGTTCGACCTCAAGAGTAGAAAATGCCTTGGCATCTTCAGGGTCTGTCCCATCTCTCCCAGAGGCACCACCAGGTACAGTGGGCTGAGGCTGGACCCACCCAGCTCTGGAACACCCTGATTCCATCCCCATCCACCCACTGCCTTGACCCAGAGCTCTGGCTCCAGTTCACATTCCCCAGTCCAAACCTACAGCAGGTTAAAAAAAAAAAAGCTCTAAACAAGCAGCTCAGTTCAGGACAGGACCAAGCCAAAACCCTGGACCCAAATACTTGGGAAGTTTTGGGAAGAAGTTTTGGAATGAGCATCTGCATCTCGGTCCAAAGCTCACAGCTGTCCTTGGCCGTGCTGCGAGCCCGGCCACAACCCGGGACTGACCCCTCCTGCCCCCACAGGGCTCAGCCCCAGCAATCCCAGGGGAGAACTCAGCCCCGGCTGTCCCGGGGCAGCTGGTCCATGGGGAGCACTGAATCCCTCCCAAATCCCTCCCACACCCCCTGGGGATGGCACCCCATGGCTGTGGCCACCCAGCAGGAGGGCACCGATGGTCACTGATGGCTGCAGCTCTGGGCGCCCCCAGCCACGAGCAGAAACACCAACCTCCCACCTGCCCCGTGGATCCTGCCCCAGGGATGGGTCTGGCATCTCCCGTGGAGGGGCCGGCGGAGGGAAGGGCAGCAGGAGCAGAGTCAGCCGAGCTTACCCGTGCCCGCGGCGGGGCTGAGCTGGTAGAAGAGCATGGCTGGGCACCGAGCGGGACACGCCGGAGCCCGGGGACACCCAGCGTGGCCAGGGCCGCGGGAGCAGCGGGAGCGGCCGGGACAGGATGTTCCACGTGGGACCGGGCTCGGCCGCCCATCGCTCGGCTGGAAACGCGGAGTCACAGCACGACATTTCCTTCCCCTCCGCCGCCTCCCCCGCGCGGGGACTGGCGGGGGGCCAGGACCCCGCACCTCCCCCTGTCCTGCCCGCTTTGAGAGCCGGCTTCCAGGCTCTGCCTGCTCGGCAAGCCCTGCATCCCCCCAGAGCCCCCCGAACAGCGAGCAGCCCCCCGTGGGCAGGGGTGCTCTTCTCAGCCCAGGCTAAACCCTCCCCACGGTGCAGCGCTGGCACAGAGAGAGTTTCTAAGTGTCCTGTCCCAGAGGGAGCCAGCAGCCAGCTTCCTCCTCCTCCCGCCCTTCCCACGGACGTGCTTTCCCAGGGAGGCGCAGGAAAGGTCGAGCAGGCAAACGCTCCTGCCCTGGGGGCACAGCCCCACGCTGGGCACAGCCCCACGCTGGGCACAGCCCCACGCTGGGCACAGGGTTACCCATCTCAGCCCAGTTCCCAGCCCTCCCTGCTACCTCCTGGGAGCTTCACTGCCAGGGCAGGGTGATGGGGGCTGAGCCCAGAACTCATCCCTGGCTGCAGCCTGCCATGGGAACCCAGCCTGACCCCAGGGAATGGTGCCCACAGACCCTCCACTGCCCCAGCCCGAGCCCCGGCAGCAGCGACAGAAACGAGTTTCCAGTGGGGACTCTCTAATGTCTAATACAGGCTCATCAAACACTACACCCACTCTCAGCAGGGCACAAAGAGGGTCTCGTTGCCTCCTCTGGTCAGCAAACAATTTCCAGGAGCTTGTAGCAACTCGGTATCTTTGAGATCTGCAGTTTAAATGGGCCGGAAATTATCCCATTCAAGTTGCATCGCGGGAGGAGCAGGCACAAGCAGACAGGCAGGGAAACACGCCCAGCAGAGCCCGCACAGCCCTGAGAAACCAGGGGATAAATCCCACCAGCTTCCTGACTGCAGGCAGGGAAGATAGACCAGTGATCCCAATATGCCTCATGCTCCCCAAGATCTCCATGGGAGATAAGCCCTCGGGAAACACCTGGACAGCCCCACAGGGTGAACCAGCACCAACATCCTCACTGGAAAAGTCTCCCAGTGGTGCATAACCCCCATGAGCCACCAGAGAATCCCCCCAGGCAAAGGCTCTGCCCTGCTCTGGCACCTGCTGAGGCTGGATGGCATTCCCAAGCAAAAGGCACCCACAGATGCCCTGCCCTGTATCCAGCAAGGGGCACAGCCTGTGGCCCAGGGGCCACTGTGGGCCATCAGAAATGCCCCGAGAGGGTCCAGCACCCCCAGCCTGGGGTCACTCACCTGGTCCCCCCAAGATGAGGAACCCAGACCCTCCAGCACCCCTCAGCACCCCAGGGCAAGGGGCAGAAAGCAAAAATGAAGGAAGAGAAGAGGCTTCCATTGTGCCAGAAGAAAGGGATAAAAACCAACATGGAAGCGAAAAAAAGGACAGAATTCCCCAATCCCCTTCCTGCAGTCACTGCACCACAGCATTTCCCCAGACATAACGCACCGACAGCTCCAACAGGAATGGTTCTGGCTGTGGGGTGCCTGGAGTGTGACATCCCTGCCCTGAGTGCTTCTGGGGTTCCATCCACCCCGCCCTGATCAGGAACAGGTGTGGACAGGGAAAAGCCCAGGACCATAAAACTCTAAAACCAGCAACCTAGAACACCAGAGCCAGCAGAATTACAGGCAGGAAAGCCACTTCCTAGAACCCTGGCTCTGCACTTTCCCTTTAACAATCAAAACTAAGAAGGGAGAAATCCCAGCCCAGGCTCCCAGCTTCCCACAGCAAGGCTCCAAATCCCCACAAAACATCCCACGCAGCCAATTAGTGTCTGAGGAGAAAACCCTGCCACGAAATCACCCGCACGTTACCTCATGGAAAGCTGGAAACAGCTGCCCGGCACTGCAGGGGAAGCTCCAACTCCAGCCCTGGGGGGGGTGGGGGGGGGAATTGCTGGGTTTTCTTTCTTTTTGGTGAGATTTCTTTCCATCCCATCTGAAACTAAAACTCTGCCTACAACAGGGACTTCCCTTTCCCAGCTGGAAGCAGAAGTTCTTGCCTGATTTTTACAGGAATGACAGAAACTCCCAACACCTCTCCCAAACCAGGGGTATGTGCCTTCACTGCCTGAAAATGTGAGGAGCTGAAGCAGGTTTCCCATGAGAAAGGTGTATGTACCCTGCTGCTGCTGAGGGTACTGGGGCCAGCATGGCCAGGGAAAGAGGGACTGACTCTGCCTGCAGCACCCAGTGCTGTGCCTGCAGAAACTGGGGCTGCCTTCCTGAGGGGCATCACTCAAACACAGCCAAAGGCCAAACCCGGACCCTCCGTGCCCACTGGAGACCCCCATCCCCTCCCAGTGTACTGGGGAGGAAACCCCACACTGCCCCCCTGGCACTGGGTGTGCCTGGGGCTCCATGTCCACCAACCTGGCCTCAGGATGCAGACAGAGCTTCACGCAGCCACGGGCATTCCCCATCCATGGGCATTCCCCATCCACAAGTATCTCCTGTCCATGGGCATCCCCAATCCATGGGTATCTCCTGTCCATGGGCATTCCCTGTCCATGGATATCTCCTGTCCATGGGCATCCCCAATCCACGGGCACCCCCCCCCCGGGCAGCTTGGCACAGGGCACCAATGAACACCAGTTATCTGCTCCCAGCTCCCAGCACCGCCCAGCAAAGTGCAGAGACTTCAGAGCCCCCAGCATGGACACGGACAGGGCACGTGGGCAGCAATGAGGAATGCTCTTGGATGTTCTCCCAGACATGGCGTGTTTCCATCATTAACCTTCACGCAGTAAATAGGTCTCATAAGTTTTGGGAACTGCTCCTTTCTATGCCACCAAACAGAAGCATCACCTCTAGCCCTGAAATATCTGGTCCAAGAGCAACACTCCCCGGGGCTGGCACCTGGCAGGGGGGAACAGCACTGCGGGGGCACCAGAGCCCTGTGCCACCCAGCTTCAGTCCCAGACAGCTGCTGTGTGCTGCAGATGAACATGAGGGACATCCAGGCCTAAAAACATTTCCAGAGGCAGCACAGAAACTGCTGGATGGTGTCTGTGTGGGGGCCAGTACCTGCGCACTGGCTGGTGCAACGTGGACAGGAATCCCTCTGGTCAGCACGGAGCAGGGAGACCAGAGCCATTGTGTTTGTGGATCAAATCTGATCAGAATCCATGTGGGATGGGTGTGACGGCCCCCAGCAGCACCACTGCAGCCCCCAGAGCACTCCCCCCACCTTATCTCTGCCCCCTCGGCCCTCGGCTCAGCTCCAGGGCTGCCTGTAACCGCCCTTATCAGCTGCAGGGATGAGGCAGCTCTGGTTTCCTCTCCTCAAACGAGCCCAACAGCAGCCTCGGGTCTGCTTGCTGTGTTCTGAAAGCTCAAACCAGCCTGTGCACCCAAAGCCTGGTGCTGAGAGGTGCAGGCAGGCAGCTGTGAGGAAACCCTGCTGGAGCACCGTGCCCAGCCAAAAAGCAGCTCCTGCCCCTGCAGGTTGGCACCTGGGACAGGAGCTGCATCCCATATGCACAGGGAACACCACTCCTTCCCCAAACATCACTTGGAGCAACTTGGTTTGCAACCTGCGCTGTTTCTATTAAAGATGAAAAGAAAGCACTGAAGCAGCTACATCAGCCCCAAACACCTGAGGCTTAGAATGATGGAATGGTTTAGTCTGGGAAAGCCCTCTAAGATCATCAAGTTCAGCACTGCCAAGACCACCACTAAGCCATGTCCCTTCTTCACACCAACACACCAACAGACCCCGCAGGGCAGGTTGAACAGCGGATGGCACGCTCAGGGACACAGGGAAGGATCCTTCCAGGAGGGAAGGATCCAGAGGGCTGTGGGCCACACCATTCAGTGGATTTGGTAGCAGGATGCAGTGGGGAGGCAGAGATGGACCTGGAACTGCCATGATGGCTACAGGAGTGTCCCACAGCATATTACAGATTCCTGCTCCCACAGGATGCCTCCTCCTGGCCCTTGGCTCCAGAGAGCCCAGGAGCAGGAGTGCTGTGGCAGCTCAGGGGTTACACATCCCCCTCGAGCGCTGCAGCTGCAGAGCAGATGTCTGGGGTGAACAAGGGATGGAGAGAGAGAGGAACAGGAACAAAGGGCCAGGAAGGTGAGGACCCTGATCTGTCCTTGCCTTCTCCACCTGCGTTTCTGCAGCTGCTGTGACCCCAGAGGAACAACCAAGAGGGCAGGACCATCCCCCTGTGCCAGGGAGTGCAGCAGTGACAGCCCCCCATGTCCCCCAGGAGTAACCTGGGTTTATATCTCTGAAAAAGCAACAGAGAAGCAATTTCATGGCAGAGAGGGCCCCTGGCTCCAGCCCACCCCGTGCACCACCCCAAGAAGGTCTCCATCAAAACTGGCACAGTCACTGGCTGCCTCTGTCAGATCTATCCTTGGGATGAATTCCTGCCTTGTCTTTGGCACTGGTTCACCATTCCCTTCCTCGTTGGTGTTCGCTGAGCCCACAGAGAGAAATCCAGAAGAGAATCCCAGAATAGTTTGGTTTGGAAGGGACCTAGAAATCATCTGGACCCCTGCCATGGGTAGGGGCACTTTCCACTAGACCAGGTTGATTCAAGCCCAGTCCAAACCAGCCTTGGACACTTCCAGGGATGGAACATCCACAAGGAGCAAGATCAAAATAGCTACTCAGATGCTGAAAAAAATAGTCCATCTTGCCCATCCTGTATCCCACCCTTTCTAAAATTGCCCTGCTGTTTTCCTGTTGGCCATCCCATGGATCTCACACACACTTTGTTTGGACTAGTGGGCGCCGTCCCTCCGGGGGCAGCCAGCGGTGCCGGAGCCTCGGCACGGATCCCCCACTGCAGGTCCTGGCCTAACCACCCCTCCCCTGTGAGCAGGGAGTGCATCCCGCATTTCTTAACAGGGACAACAACAAAAGCCCAGTTTGGACTGCTTGGAAGAGCGTTAGACCCAGCACAGACAGCATAACCCCCCCCAGCCTATCCTGCCTCTGGCACGGTCAACACCCGGAGCGCTGCATGCCAGTGCTGCTCTCAGCACAGCACTCACCACAGGCAGCACGAGACCCAACACCAGCCACCACCAAAGGCCAAGGAAGACCAAGGCAAAGGAAAACACCAACAGTTCTGCTAAGAAAACAGAACCAGCAGCAGCTCTGACTTTGCAGGGAGTTCTCAGTTCCAGTTGCAGCACCCACAGCAGATACCCATTTGCATCTCCTGCTTCAGCTGTTCTCCTGCATCCCACCCCAGGGAGCAAGCCTCTGCTCCTACTGCTAAATCCAGACACCAAAAAACAGTTACTCCCTTAATACATGAGGGAATTCCCTCCAACTGTTCTGCATTTATTTAGCACAAACACGTGTGTGTTTCCAGAGGAACCCACGGAGCAGCATTCCCTCGTGGTCTTGCTGCAGTTTTTCCATGCTGTGCAGAATCACAAACCCAGCTGAGGAATGCTCAGGCTCTGGTGGCTTTGGTGGGAGCCCTGCAAGCCTCTGGGGACAGGGAGCCCAAAGCACAGCTGTCACACCTGGCCAGTGGGCACTGCCACAGCCCTGGAGCAAAAATGTGCCCTCACAGGAAGAAACAGGCACTGAACTCCCAGCACAGGCACAAAGGGTTACTTTGGGCTCTCTTCTTCCCTTTTTAAAGGCTGCAGTACAAAAATAACCCCAAATCAAGTGTTTCCCAGCTCTGTGCAATAACCTGCCTCCTTCCCCATTCCCCACTGCAGTGTGACTCCAAAGCCACCTCCCTCTGCCCGTGGCCACCAGCCTTGGCATTGGTTTATCAGCTGGTCCCTGCCATGCGGGGAGAGCAACAAACTCAAAACCTGAGTTTCACAAAGCAGCCACAGAACTCTTCTCAGGTGGGCACAGGTCTGTGTGTGCCAAGGCAGGGCTGTCACCTGCCCATCGGGCTCTCCCATCGGGACCCCTTCCTGCTGTGTCCAGTGTCCACTGGCACCACTCGGGCATCACTCACCTGACTCCAGGGGGCATTTTGCTCCCCACACCACAGCTCCAAAGCCTGTTCCCTCCTCATTCCTTCCTGTCCTCTTTCTTAATACTGCTTTTAAGTCAGTGAACTGGTGTCAGCAGGTGATGCCACATCTCACAGCACAGCTGGTACTCACACTGTCGTGCTCCCAGTCGTGCCAGCTGCCATCTCACCACCCTCACTGCCTGGCAGGAGGTGGGGGTCAGGCTCACAGAAAGGCATTTTGGCTCGGGCTCAGGAAAAAAACCAGAGATCAAGAGAAGCTGGCACACGGCACTCACTGTGCTCTCACCGGCTCAGCTGCCTCTGTCAGAAATAAACCCAAATATTACCAAGGCTGCACCTTCCCTGGGGAGCAGAGGGGGGAGGAAAAGCCCCACACGGTGTGACTGAGGCCAGCCCGTGCTCTGTCACTTCCACTGCCCCCTCATCTCTGTGCCACACAGCTGCAGCTCCGGTGCCAGGGCTGTGTCCCAGCGCAGCGCGGGGTCCCTGCACACCCCCTGCCCCCCGCTCCAGGGACACGCAGGGCAGCAGCTACAGATCACTTCAAGGGGAAAAAAAGGTAAAGGAAAATCTGTTTGTCAAGAAAATATTAAAAAAAAAACCCAACTTAAAAACAACACAACCAACACCTCTGAACCCTTCCCTCACCCCGCTGTGCGAAAGCCAGAGCGAACCACCCTGCAGCAGAGGAAATGCTGCTTCCAAGAAATCTCTGACAAGAGAAAAGGTCATTTTACAGCCTTTCCCACCTCCCCTGAGAGCGTTTGCTGGCTGGAGCCTCCCAATCCAAACACAGAGCCTGGACACGAGCAGACTCACCATGGCAGGAGCTGTTAATCCCGGCTTTGTTCATTGGAAACCGTGAATTAAACGCAGAAAAAAGTATCAGCATGACCCCCGGCCTCCTTCATCCCCTCCTTGGCCACCCAGCACTGTCCGCCGGCGGTTGGAGACCTTCCCACAGGCACCCCACGGGAGAGCCCCGACCTTTCCCCGCGGTGCCGATCCGATCCGATCCGCCGTGCCCCGCAGCTGCCGCGCTGCTCGTCACCAGCAAACAGGACATCCCGGCCGCGCAGGGCTGAGCCCCGAGGCGGGGGTGGGAGCAGCGGGGAGGGTTCCATCCGGAGCGCCGGGGAGCGCTGAGCCGCTCCCAGCTCCGGGACAGCCACCCGAGCGGGCACAGCCCCGCGATCCCGCAGCACCCACACCCGGGGCTGTCCTGCCCCGCACGGGGTGCCCGGGCCAGCCCGGAGAGCAGCAGCTTCCAATTCCAGCTGGAAAAAACGAGGGAACGAGAGCGAAGCTTCCCACGGGGCGGCACCGTGCCAGCTCCAGGCGCAGGGAGCGGCGCTGGATGGGAGCGTGGCACTGCCCTGCGGTACTCCAGCAGGGAGGAGAGGGATGGGCACCCCAAAGCCCCCTTTTCCATCCCATCAGACATGGACTACTCAAGCCACTGACTGTGATCTCCAACTGAGCTCCTCTCAGCTGCCAGCCTCTGCCCAGAAATGCAGCTTTCTCTGTGCCAGAGATGACAAGGCTGGGGAAAGGGAAAGCCAAGGCTGACCCATCATAAATTTCCCAGTCCCTCAAGGTACCAAAGAGGATTAAATGCTCAAAAAGATGGTTCAGGGACAACCCCAGGGGTGCCTGCAACCCAAGATATCCAGACCTAATTGCCCAGTTCCCTACAAAGTCACAGTTCATGCTCAGCCCAGGTTGCTCCACCTGCCCTGGGAGTGCTCCTTCCCCACGCAGCAGGATTCCACTCACCTCTGAGCAGCCCAAAGCAGAGGGGTCAGCACAGCCCACGTGAGAAGCTGAGGTTGACACAGGATTAGTTTCCACAATGAAAAGCACATTTCCTGCGACTGCACTTCCCAAGCCAGTGCTTTGGCACAAATCATTCCCGAAACGAGCTGTGAGATGCCCTCAGCAGCTGAGCATCATCTCGCCTGTTTCTGACTCCCAGTGAGAAACATGATAGGTCTCTCATCCCTGACCAGGGATACAGCATCAGCAAACATTCTGCCTGCCCCCCCAGCTTCCTTACACTGGGCAGGGCAGACAGAAGAGAGCAGGAAGAGGCAGGACACGGACCCGAGGCCTTCTGCCTTCTCCAAACACTGCCTTCTCCAGACCACGCTGTCCCAACAGGCAGACAACAGCCCCTGTGTCACAACAAAAATGTGGGGGCGGTGAAACCTGAGGACAAAGGTGGAAGCAAACAGCACAGACCCCAGGATAGGGAGGTCACCAAGCCAAACAGAAGCCCACAACCTGCCTTGCTCTTTTTTCCCTTTCTCCCCGCTGGAAGGAGATGCTGTTGAGGCTGGATTTGAAGCTCAGGGCTCCCCGTTCTTTATGAGCCAACAGGAGATGCTGGGACAGCAGGACAAACAGCCTTTTGGAGAAGTCTTAAAGGATGTCATAGTTTTCAAGGAGACAAAGGAACATTTCAAAAAAATACAGAAGTCTCCTTGCCAGGAATGTGGGGAATGTCAGAGAATATTACAAAACAGGATACAAAAGCTGGCCTCAAGCGATGTTAGAGACGCATACACTGGCCTGACAGTCAAGATGCTGAATCCCAGTGGAAGACCAACCATGGGAATGGCAGAGGCAGTTTACATGGTCCCATCTGCCTGTCTCCCACCAGTGAATCCAGCACAGCCAGCTCTGCCAGCCATCCCTGTGCCCCTTCCCACAGGCAAGCCCACCCCACACCAGGATACAGATCAAAACAGAGGCCTTCACATAAAACACGGCATTTCTGAGGAGCTGAGGCAAGCACAGCCTGCCAGGACACGGTGAAGAGCCATGAGTCAGGGAGGATCTGAGGATGCACAAAGAGAACTGGGCTGATCTGTGGCTGAAGGTCATGAATCCCAGACCTTTGCTGTAAACAATAAGGAAAAGAGATGCTTCAAACTATTTTCCTTCAGTTTGGTTAATTAACCAAGCACTTCCTGGTCTTCCGAGGGATTTCCAGGCACAGGAGCTCCCACCTCCTCCCACAGCTATTCCGACTCTTGGGAAGTTATGACGCCGAAGGCATCAGAGCCAGAGCTGCCAACAGCAGGGTCAGGAGCAGAGGAACAGCTCCTGGGGTCAGGCCAAGGAGAAGCCCAGGGGTCAGGAGGCAGCAGGAAGACCCAATTCCACACACCAACTGCTTGCAATAGGAAACAGAGGCCACTTACTGGCAGAGCAGTGCCTTTGGCAGGAATGGGCATGTTTGTTCCAGCTTCCCTTCCATGTGAAACCCCCTCTGTAAGGAAAAGATTTGTCACAGCAAGACCCACATGGGGTTGTCTTGCCCAGCCCTGACAGCACAACAGCTCTGCTGGAGCTCACAGCCAGACAAGGTGAAGATGGAGCTACCTGAGGGAGACAGATCCTCTCCTGATGGCTGGATGATGCCAGGGCTGGCAAAGGCTCCAGCCCACGTCCACTGCTTTCCAGGGCTGATACAAGGAACACTTTGCCCTAACGACAGTCATTCTGAAATACCCACCATGATCACACAGGGAGGAACCTCCCCAACCAAACCTCCACCGCAGTGGCTGTGCATGGCAGGGAAGTCCCTCTCTCCCCTCAGCTTCATGGCAGGAGGGAGGAGTGCTGTCCCAGAGCTCTTTGGCTGATGGAAAACCAGCCAGGAGGAGCCTCCACAGGGCTTGAAGCCTGTCTGTCCATGTGTCACGGAGTGAGGGACCCTGGCAGGTCCTGCACCTCAGAGGGGCTGCCCAACCCAGAGGCACCCAGGGCTGTCTCAGTATAAAACTTGGCACAGCAGTCAGTGTTGTGTCCTTCAGAACAACACTCTAAAATGCTCATCTCTTCCCAAGTAAGAGTTCCTTCCCAGTCCCACCAGTGTGCAGCGGTTGCCCCACTGGTGTTTCTGAGGAAGCCTCTGCCTCAGCAAAGCTCTCCCTCGGCACTGCAGAACGACGTGTTTGTGGTCTATCAATCAGCTCACACCCTTCTAGAACCCTGCCATGTCTATTTTTACGAGCCACTAATTTTGGACTCACATGCGTGTTTTTGGAAGGGACCCAAGGCCCAGCACAGCTCAGCAGCCTCAGCACCTTCGGGGCTGAGCGGCCCCTGCCCCCACCCCACGGCCACGCGCTGACCAGCCCACCCGAGACAGCCCACGCTGCTGCCCACAGCCCCGAGCCCCAGTGCACGCACACGTGGCTGCACGGCCGCTCACCCAGTGCCCACCCGAGCGAGCCACAGCCACGGGCACCGGGCTGGGAACGCCGCCCTGCCCTGCCCGGGACAGGGGACGCTGACCCGTGACGGCCGCGCACAAGGACTCGCTGCTCTGCCCGCCGGCTGCTCACTGAGCGTCCCATTCCCACCTGCCCACAGGACTGCAGAGCGTCACGAGGTGCCTCTGGGCCAAGAGCACTGAGTGGGGCCGGGGGAGCCGAGCTTTGCTCTCCCCGGGTCTCCAGAGCGTTCCCAGAGAAAGCCGTGGGACACGGCATCTCCTCCCACTCCCACTGCACAGCACCCCTGTGCCCGTGCCCACCCCAGGTCCCTGCAGAGCTGGAGATGAAGGGGAGCACTGAGGAAAAGCAGGGAAAGCATCGACAAAGCCATTCAGTGCTCTGATGGGCTGAGGAACCCTGCCAAGGAACACGAGCCCTCAATAATGCGTGGAACACAACACCAGGCACATCCCCCTGTGCTGCCAGGAGCCCTTCACGGCACAGCTCCTGCTCAAGGAGCGGCACAAACCACCTGAGAGCAGCTAACTCCCCCCTGAAGCAGCCAGGCAGGTGACTGGTTCTGCCAGCACAGGTGAAGAGCAGCCCAAGGACAGTCAAGATCTCCACAGGCAGTGGCAATAAGGAGGGACTGCGATCTCTGAGGATTCAGGTCCCATCTCAAGCCAGCACCAGACACTTGGGGGACCTGGCTCTGCCAAAGCAGATGTTCTTAACACACCACATTTCCTCTTCTCCATGAAAACCACAGATAAAATATCAGTGAACCTTATCAAACACTAATCATTGAAACTCCTGATCCCGTTATCCCCTGCCTTCTCTGACGGCTATGGCCATAGGAACAGAGACATGAGCAGGACCTCAAATCGAGAAGAGCCAGCCCAAAGCAGAGGGGGAGCAGGGGCCAAGGTGGGGCTGCCTCAGTGCTGCAAAGGCCCTGCGCAGATTTGTGTGTCTGAGAGGGGCAGGAAGGAAAAGCGTCAAACCACGGGGCTCAGCCAAGGGCCCGGCGCCGCTTCCGGCCGCAGTTCTGCAGAACCCCATTAATGAGCCACCAGCTGCAGCTCCCCAGCCTTCACAGAAACAAAATATTAATGAAAAAACAACCCCTGCTGCTCGAGCAGGTGGGAAAGCCATGGAGAGCAGGAGAGGCAGCAGCACAGTGTGGCTGCAGCAGCAGCAGGACAGCCAAGGCTCCGGGGACAGCGTGACCCCTGGTATGGCTTCTTCCATCAGAGGGAGAGGCCTGGGCACACCCAGCTCCTCTCATGGGTGGAGAGAGGTGATCCACGCAAAACTCAGTGGGTCCCAGCCTGCTCCTGCTGCCCCTTTCTGTGCCCAGGATCCTCCAGCCACCCACGGCTGGCTGGAGCCGCAGCTGCCCCTGCTCAGGGTCAGGCTGACAGCATCCATGTGCCCAGGGAGCAGCGTGAGGCACCAAGCTCTGGCTCACCAGCATGCTCTGACTGTCCTCTTTGTTACCACTTCAATCCCATACCATATTCCTGCCACCACCACAGGGATCATAGAATCATGGAATCACAGAATGGTTTGAGTTGGAAGGGACCCTAAAACTCATTTCATTCCACCCTGTGCCATGGACAGGGACACTTTCCACTAGCCCCATCCAACCTGGCCTTGAACGCTCCAAGGTATGAGGCAGCCACAGCTTCTCTGGGCAACCCGTGCCAGGGCCTGCCCACCCTCACAGGGAGAATTTCTTGCCAGTGCCTCAGCAGCAACTGAGGGTCATCTCCA